AGAGGCTGTCTTTTCTCCATCATATGTTTTTGGCAACTTTGTCAAAAACGAGGTTGGTATAGTTGTGTAGATTCACATCCGGGTCCTCTATTCTGTTCCGCTGGTCTTCATGTCTGTTTCTGTGCCAGTACCATGCTGTTTTTATTGCTATGGCTCTGTAGTATAGTTTGAAGTCAGGTATTGTGATATCTCCAGCATTGCTCTTTTTGCTAAGTATTGTCTTGGCTATTCACAGTCTCTTATGTTTCCAAATGAACTTTAGGCTAGATTTTTCAATCTCTGTGATGAAAGTCATTGGGATTTTGATGGGAATTACACTAAACATGTAGATTGCTTTTGGTAGTGTAGCCATTTTTACTGTGTTGATTCTACCAATCCATGAGTGTGGGAGCTCTTTCCATCTTTTGTAGTCTTCCTCGATCTCTCTCTTCAGGGGTTTGTACTTCTCCTTGTAGAAGTCATTCACATCCTTTGTTAAATTTACTCCTAGGTATCTGATTTTTTTGGGGGGGCTATTATGAATGGAATTGTTTCCATATATTCCTTCTCAGTTTGCTCATTGTTGGTGTATAGAAAAACTAATGATTTTTGTAGGTTGATTTTTGTATCCTGCCACCCTACTGTAGCTGTTTATGGTGTCTTAGAGTTTTTGGGTAGTTTCTTGGGTCTTTAAGGTATAGGATCATATCATCTGCACATAAGGATATTTTGACAGTTTCTGTACCTATTGGTATTCCTTTTATTTCTTCTTCTTGCCTAATTGCTCTGGCTAGAAATTCCAGCACTATGTTGAATAGAAGTGGGGATAGTGGGCACCCTTGCCTCGTTCCTAATTTTGGAGGGAATGGTTTCAGTTTTCACCGTTACGTATGATGTTGGCTGTAGGTTTGTCATATATAGCCTTTACAATGCTGAGGTACATTCCTTCTGTTCCTAGTTTTCTTAGAGCTTTTATCATGAATTGGTGTTGGAGCTTGTAGAAGGCTTTTTCTGCATCTATTGAGATGATCAAGTGATTTTTGTCTTTGCTTCTATTGATGTGCTATATTACATTTATAGATCTGTGTATTCAATATTACATTTTGATGAGTCAAGAATATGTATTAGAACTTCTTAAATAAACACTTAAGGAAATAGTAAAAAAAAAAAAAACACCATCAATTCAAGCTTATAAAAACAAAAAGATGGAAAAGTTATTTTTAAAAGAACAAAACAAACCTAGAAAAAGAAAAAAATGAACATAAGACAGGTGAGACACAGACTTCTAAAATTAACTTTTAGGCATTTCTGTAAATATATGTCAATTCTAGCTCTCCCACACACATTTGCTTTTATAAATTTTAGCTTCTGCAGCTATTCAATTTTTTCTATTGAGACTTACATTTCAAAGTTTTACTTTACCTTATCTTACTACAGACATGCTAATAAACATTAAAATGTTCAAAAACCAAACAAAATGAAACATGAATAAAGAGCCCAGAGAGACAAATGACTCATAAATTCTGTATTAATTCTATAATAAAATATTAATTTGCCATCACTGATCCATATAACATGACTAACCACAAAATTAATACTTTAAGAAGCTTTAAAATGAGATTCTTTCATTAGTTCATGAAAAACAGTACTTTTGATTTTTTAATTCACTTGCTGATTCAGTGAAAGAAAATTCCAGGATAAAATTGTAACATTTTTCTATGTTCATATCAATGGCAACAGGACACAGGTACAATGTGTAACTCTATCGCAAGATAACTAAATCATCTCTTTCAAGCCAAAAACACTTGAGACATAAAACTCTAGTCAACCTTGGTCTTTCTAATAAGCAAATGAAACTACCGGAATATTTACTGAATATTTTAACTTTAGGGTACATTGCTCCTACAATTTTGTGAGGCATGGGCATTTTAAATAAGGTAGTCTAGCGCCTCAAAGGGAAAATGAAATCAACGTTATCATAATCTCTATTAAAAAAATCAAAGAGTATCTTATTCAACACTGAAACCCAGTTTTGCAGCTATAGAAACAAGTAAACCAGGATTTATGAAAGCAAGCAGAATCACTCCCAAGTCTAGTGTGGCTGGGGTCTAGCAGACTGACTCTCTTTCTAAGTCTACCACACAAAACTGAGCCAGTTCATTCAGATGAGAATGGTGCCTGGAGCTTTCCCTTAACATCTATCATGACTGTTTCAGTGCCACACAGGGAAGTAACTAATGTAAAAACAACAGTCTCCCCAGCTCAGAACTGTGATGTGGTCTTTTCTCACCCTTCAAGTTTCCTATCCAGAACTCCCTTATCTTCTCTTCATCCTTCAGGTCTTACAAATTGCTTCCTCAAGGAAACTGTCCTGACTCCTCCAAAACCAAGTTAGGCTCCCCATAGGTTAGTTCAAAAGACTTATACACTTCTTGAAAACAAGATACCTAACACAAATTCCTGGGGTACACAGAAGGTGCTCAAGAAATATTCACTGAATAAACAAATGTGAAATAATCCTCAAAGATTAAGTTGACATGGACCAGTCAAGAATCCCAGTGTCTGTGACTGTGACTCTTAACTCCCACACTCTCTAACCCCCATATATTATGTGGAGGTGTGCAAGATGTCACATTTCTTTCAAATTATTTTTTTTGTATTGACTTCCATGTAAAAAGGGGGGGAAACAATGATTCTCTAAATATAATTAAATTACATCTGAGAATGGAATATACAAAAATCACACTGTAACTTTCTGGTAATCAAGGGTCTGAACTAGACTAGTTACAAAGACATGAATAGTTAAAGTGAAATTTCAAAGATAAACTAAACTAGAAAATGGAATCACATCTCTCAACATTTGAAGTATCAATTCTCCAAGCTCTAGTATTCTAAGTTTACAAACTGCCTTACATTCCTCAGTTTTTAACCAAAGTAATTTTGTTTGTTCTCAATTTGCTACTATCTTGAACTTACTGGCCTCTTTTTCACCCATCTTTCCTGGGTACAAATGTAACAGTTATTTGATACAGATGCCAAAAACAAACTTGGCCTGGCACTGGAGACCCGGATTGGATCTGGTAGCTCTCTTGGTTCCCAATAATGCTTGAGAATGATCAGTTTACACATGGTGCCAAATCCGGCGCTTATACTTCCTGACTTATTTAACCAAAACAGTTGTTCTCTGGCTAGGAGCACTACGTGGCAAAACACCGGTAACCTGGCAATGGACTATCCCTACCAGAAACCACGGAGAGTTTGATAGCCTAGTTAAAAACAGTGAATTAGGAACTAACTCTCTAAGGCTCAGGGCCCAAACTCTGAAAGTGTGGCAAATGATACTTCTTTGAATGCCTCTGTGACAATTCATTCATTCTTTAAATACATATTCTGCTAGGACATTTTTCTGTCAACTCAGGATACCTGTACTTGCAATTAGGATTGTTTTTCCTTTCAAAGTTAATTAAGACTTTTATTAGCAATTTTGTTTTTTCTACTGCAATTTAGTTTAATTGACTATGTAGAATGCCACACAGAATCCACATCCATTTTAAGAAATGAAATACAGCCGGGCACCTGTAGTGCACGATTGTAATCCTAGCTACTCGGGAGGCAAAATCAGGAGGCTCACGGTTCCAAGCCAGCTCAGGCAAATAGTTCACGAGACTCTATCTCGACAAAACCCATCACAAAAAAAGGGGGGAGCTGGTGGAATGGCTCAAAGTGTAGGCCCTGAGTTCAAAGCCCAATACCGCCAAGAAGAAAGAAGGAAGAAGAAGAAGAAGAAAGAAAGAAAGGAAGAAGAAGAAGAAGAAGAAGAAGAAGAAGAAGAAGAAGAAGAAGAAGAAGAAGAAGAAGAAGAAGAAATAATAATAATAATAATAATAATAATAATAATAATGAACTACCTCGTTTACAATTTTTATTATAAAAGAACGGCAAACTAGGAAATATTTCGTTCATTTTAGGGTGAGAAAAGCAAATTAATCACTATTCATTTGGTGCTAACTTATTCTTACTAAGATGACTTAAAGTTAAAAAAACAAAAAAAGTTCCCACTCCCCCTTGCCAGAACTTCCCAGAGATTCAATACACGCGGGAGTTGGCAAGGGTGATCTCGAAAGTTCTTGCAACTTTTTCTGAGCTATGAAATATTAAGTATGTATCCCTAAGATTTAATTTTCTTTAGGGGATTTAAATCAATTTCTTCCAGCATGCCAAATACTTAAGACAGTGCCCTCACTTTCCTTTTTTCTATTCGTGTCGCATTCTTTCCAAAGATTGGATATTGCCCCAAGCACAGACCCTTTCTAGTCCATAAGGGAGGTTATCAAAGTCTTCTTTCCATAAAAAAAAAAAAATCAGATTAAAGTCAGAGGTTCAAGCCTCAAATTATAGAAGCGCACAAACTTCTCTCGCTCATCTCAACACCTGCGAGTGACCGTTCTCGCGCACTGGAAACGCCGCCCCATCGGACGGCGGGGAGCTGCGAAGTCTGTGTCTCCGGGCTTCCCAGACGCCGGGCTCAGCCCCTCCTCCCGTGCCCGTGCCGAGTGGAAACAAAGTTCCGCCACCTCACGGCGATCACTGACGACAACCAAGTTAGCCTGGGTCCTGCCCACTCGGACTCGGGAGGAGGACGCGACTGAAACTTGCCAGGGAGACCCGTCTCCCCGGGGACCGAAACTTACCAGAGGGGGCGGGGAGGCGGGTGGAGGGTTCCGCCTCCCCGGGGGCCCAGCGACGCGGCGACCCCCGCCCCCCGGCCCCAGCCCGCGCGGCCGGCCTGCCAATCACACCGCGGACCCACGCCGTCACTGGGGTCCCGGGCGCCCCGCGCCCCCCCCCCGGACCCGCCCCCTCCAGGGCTGCGCTGGGAGCCGCAGGGCGTCCCCTCCTCCCGGGGCCGGAATGGCGGCGTCCGGCTCCCAAGGACCAACTCCAGTCGCGGCCCCGGGCGCACCGCCGGGGAGTCTGCGGCCACCGGTCTCTCGCGGCGGCAGACGAGGGCGGGAAGTTACCTCCGGACGGTCCCGGCGGAGGTTACGGGCAGCAGGCGGAGCGCGCAGTCCCAGGCGGCCGAGCAGGTCGGGCGGTGCGGCGAGCGGCTACCGCAGTGCCCTCCGCCCCATTGTTTCCCTTCCAAGATAATCCCGGCGAAGCCGAGCCCGGGAACCAGGAAGTTCCCCGGCGCGACACCTCCTGCCGCCGCTATGGAAACGGCCCCCGCCTCCCAGGGCGGCTCGCCCGGGACCCCGCCTCCAAGCCGCCGGCCCCGCCCGCCTCACCGGCCGCCGCCAACTGTCGCCGCTGCGGCCGCGGCCGCCGCCATCTTGGCGCGGCCCGGCAGCCCCTTCCCGGCGGCACGTGCGCGGCGCTCCCGCGCTCCCGTCGTGCGCGCTCCCGCCGGCCTCGGGGCCGCGCGCCCAGGGCTGCAGGTGGAGGGTCCAGCGCCCCTGACCCCCGAGAGCCCGCCGCGGACGATCGGGACTGGACCCGAGCTTCGAGGCTTTGCACGAAAACGACGTACATTCGAGTGTCCGACTGTGGGGAGAACCTGGGGGACGTTAGCCTAGGACTTACAGACAGACCCGCTCATTTTTCAGTTCTAGCCCAGCTCCTTACCAGGCGTGAGACTTGGGCACTGAAGCTGCTTTTCTCTTTGCCTCACTATCTCCATCTGTAAAGTGGGATGACAATAGTACCGGCTTGGCGGGGTAGTTACCTGGAACAAGAGAGCGTTTGGCAGTAAATGCAAAAGGATCGTCAGTTCATTAGAATGGCGCTGCTCTGACAGTGTGACCCTAGTCACACTTCGGTCATTTTCCAGGAACTTAGACCAAGTGTTCAAATCAGCACTATTTAAATAGGCTACTGCATACGACGATCCGATCGCTACTTACAACTTCCTACATGTTCATCTTTGTCCCATCTTTCTCTAGGTCAGCTTTCCTTTTTTATATCGTGGAAATTGTCAGAGTTTTAATCTCTACAGTCTTCCATTAAAGGCTGCCATAAAGAGATGAACGATAGAAACTTTCCAACACTGTAATTAGCTGACAGTTAAATGATTTATTCAGTAGAAGCTAGAAAAGTTAGAGTGTGCAAATAGCTAAACAGCTGCCCGTCCTTGTTTCCAGGAACTAGAATTACCAAAGCCGGCAACTCTGCACTGTTGTTTTTCTCTCTTTTCCAAGCAGGTGAAAATGCCAAGAAACTGGCTGCTGTATACAGTATTGCACAAGTGAGTGAAGGAGGACATAGGGTCACAGTCTCCTCACTAGCACACAGTTTAAGAACTGTGAATAAGATGAGGTCTGTATGTCTCAATGTTGTAACCTTACACAACCTCTTAATAGTTTGCAGGGTAGGGATTGCTGGGGATTGAACCCAGGGGCTTCTGCATGCTGAGCACACACTCACACACTTCCACTGAGCTACCTTCCCAGCTTAAACACTTCAGAAGGAAATACAAATTTATCACTTTGAGTCCTCATGAGTTGAATAAACTAGTATTTGGGGCTGTTTTTTGTTTTGTTTTCCTAAAAAATGATGCAAAAATGGCTCAACTGATTTGATTTTGAATTGGCGAAAATCAGGTCAGAAAGTGGAAGGACGGGAAATTTTTCAACACCCAAATGCTTTCTTAAAAGTTACAGAATTCTCAGATTAGCAGTTATTGAGATAGCCTCAATTTCTGACAGACAAGACCTCCTACTTACACAGCTTTGTGGCCCCTATTGCACCCAGCAGATTACAGAAGGCACTCAATCATTTAATTTTCCTGAATTAAGACTGGAGGTGTGGCTCAGGTGGTAGAGTGCCTACTTTGCAAACAAGAATCCCTGAGTTCAAATCCCAGTCCCACAAAAAAAAGAAAGAAAGAAAATAATTTTCCTGAATTACATTGGTATGTTTGTTTGAGCTCCTGTCACTTTAGGACACCTTGAGAACCACAGAGATGCTCCAAAGACATAACTCACGGGGCAACCCTGCAAACATAAACCCCAAGTCACTAGTTAATGAGTTAATGGGATTCTGGAGAGACAACTGTGATCCCAGGCTTATCTGGCAAAATGAAGTATAAATTTGAGGTACATTTTTTCCTTAAATTAGGTGAGTAGTTCTAAGAACACTTCATTTGGACTTAATTTTGAGCATTGTTGGCTCAGTTTTATACTAGTCTTCTGACTCTACAGTATTATTAAAGCTCACATCTCCACATTTGTCCCTGCATCTAAGTGTCACCTCAATATAAGACCTGTAGTGTTCTTAAATATAACTTCAGAGACTTTCCATAATTCTTATTACTAAGCATCTTGAAGGGATGGTTGAACAGTAAGTATGAATTTTTGTCTTTTTTACTACGATATCCCCAGCATAGGGCTTGGTAGTCATACATAATATGCCTGTGCCATATGCCTGGAATCGGCAGTATGCCAATTTTTCCTCTTAATTAGGAGTAGGCAAACTTTTTCTTAAAGGAAAAAGATATTAAGCATGAAGGCAGCCATAGGCCATCAACACAAGAATGAGGATGGGTGGGCGTTACTAAAAATTTCCAGAAATATGTGGACTTGAGCCTTGGGGTCACAAGTTAGCAACCCCAGCTCCAAATATAATTAGATAATATTCACTGCATACAACATGACATGCTAACACCAAAATGCCCTTCAATCAAAAAAAAAAAACAAAAAAGGATAAAAGCTTACTATCCAAATACCAAAAAAGTAAAAAGAGGAATGAATTAGCAATATGTGTTACTAATTAAAATATTTCACAAAAAACATTTAGAATTTCCTCTCCTATATCAAAATGGAATAAAAGAGATTGATATTTGCATTTCATTTTTTGCAAAAGTTATGTGCTATGCTAATGACAAAACTTAAAATGTTGCCAAAGGTAAAAATGCATATTTAAATACCCACAGAAAACCATAATAACTAAGATCATAACGCAATGTGGTGATAACATAAAACCATAGAACACAGAGAAAAGAAATTTCCAAAGCAAATTATCCATCTTTCACTATCATCTTTAAAATATGGATGAAAGAGTCAATTCTAAGAGTCTCCTGTAAACTGAGACTTTGTAAATTGAATCCGTAGCTATATGATCCATTTAGTAAAAGCAGATAGCTCCCTAAATTGAGGATTTTTTGTTTTTAGAAGGCTATCAAAAGCCTTGCAGTGCACATATTCATACTCACCAGCCACAGTGATTCCTGAAATTAAATAGCCAATATTCTTCTATTGAATTAATAGAAAAGTCAGTTCCAATATTCTTCATGGATGAAAAAAAAACCAGATTAGTCAACATTTCTGAAAAAGCTAAGGGAAATTAATCTCACCCACACAGTTCATTTTTTTTTTCTTAAAGTTATCCTTTGATTATTGGCTAGGCACAGTGTCTCAAGACGGAAATCCTGGCTACTGGGAAGGCAGAGATTAGGAGGATTGTAGTAAGAGGCCAGCCCAGGCAAAAAGTTCACAAGACTCCATCTCCACCAATGGCTGGGCAAGGTGGCAGATGCCTGTCATCCTAGCTATGAGAGGTGAAGAGTGAGGAGTGGGGCATAAATAGGATTGAGATCCAGGCCAGTCCAGGCATAAAGGAAGACCCTAGTTCTAATAAAAAGGGCTGGTGGCTTGGCTCAAGTGCTAGAGCACCTGCCTAGCAAGCCTGAGGCCTGAGTTCAAACCCCAATACCACAAAACAGAGAGAGAGAAAAAATTATTGATTGCAGAGAGAAATTTATTGATTGCAAAGAATCCATGGAAGAATAATGAATTCCATAAAATTATATACAAGACTTTGTGTAGAGTTTGTCACTTGTAATTATCTGAGATTGTCTTATTTATTGGTATTCCTGGTTTTGTTTTTATTTTTCAGTCTGTCTTAAGAATATGTCTGCCATGAGATCGGGGAACTTATCTGTCTTCTACCTTACTCTATTCCTTAGTCCAGATTGGTGCAGCACTGAATCAGCTCCCTATATATAATTGCAGAAGTTATGAAGAGGGAAAGAGGGAGAAAGAATGATTAAAAGAAGGAACACAGTTGTACAGCTATCCAATTTTTCTGGAGAGAAGTTTCTAACTTAAAAAGGTCTGGGGACTCAAAACTAAAATCAGGACTAACTGGTTTTCAACTACAAAATTTACTACTCATTTTCTCCTATGCTCTTTGCTCATAAGCCACCCTGATTTCATACCCAAATGGTGTCATGGTTTGTGGGAGAAATACAATGATGCCGTATTGTTTTTAAATGCCTCATTATGTCTTTATAGCTTTAAAGAATTCTTTCACCTGCTTACCTTATAGTTGCCACACCATCCATTTAGCCACCTTGTAGGTATCATGCCATTTTTTTGTCTTATCAGGCATAGCTGTATTTTAAAATTATCATAAGATATTGAAAAATTGAAGTACACTTTCATGCCAATTTTGTTTCCACTTCAGGATGATAAAACATTTGCCTCCGTGTTTATTATTTTGAACTTAATTTTTAAGTCCTTGTGTAAATCTATATAGGTTGTATCGTAGCTAGTTTTCACAGATGGCCTCCCAATGAACCATGCCTCCCAACCTTGGATGTCATCCTCCTCTTGAATCTGGGCTAGCCTGCGATTCACTTTGGACCCCTCCAAAAAAAGACTATGGTAGAAATGATGCCAAGTGATTTCTGAGGCTAGACCATAATAAGCCATGAAGCGTACCCCTGGGTCTCTGAAATTCTCAGTGTACTTCCAGTCAGAATTCACACACTATCCTGAAAGAAGCCAAAGTCACCTTCAGAGTCCATGTATAGATGGGGAACCTCAGCTGGGCCCCCGGGCAACAGCCAGCATCAAGGGCTAGTGACGTAGGCAAGGCATCTGGACAGCCAGCAGAGCTGGGCCTTCATATGCCTGGAGCCCCAGCTGGGCAGCCCTATGAGAAACCCTAAGTAACTTCTAGGTGAGTCCAGTCAACCCAGGGAACCATGAGAGCATTAATAAATTGCTGTCTCAAGCCATGAGTTCAGTGTGGTTTGTTATGTACCTGTAGACAAATGGAATAAGTTGATTAAAAATAAAAGTGCTAGAGCTATATTTAGCTATATTTTAGCTAAACTTTAATAAATAATATCAAAATTAATAGAAGTGCTGTCTACAAGTGTCAAGCTATAAAAGAAGAGGGTAAATGCTAGCAGATTTTAAGGCATTCCAGGGCACAGGAAGTTTCTAATT